CTCCCTCTCCCCCTCTCCTCCTTTCTCCCTTCCTCCCTCCTTTCTCCGCCCTCCCCCTTCCTACAAGATTGCAAGGTTTTAGAAATTAGGGTTTATTTATAATGTCCACTAACCATAGTACCTACCACATAGTACCTGGAACATTATAGGCATTAAATAAATACTTTTGAATGATTGGATTCAGGGATAAATTTCTAAATTATGTCAGGCTTTACATGAGGCCACTCTTCTAAACATGGGAAGGATATACTTGTTCTTAGAATTTTAAAAATTTGGCATATTGTTTGACAAGTATTGCCTATGTTTTCAAATGATGTGTACTTTTGAATAAGATAGCTATAGAAAATCCCAAATTGACTGTAAATTCAAAAGCATAAGTATTCTTTCCAGATAAAAGTAGGTCACAGTTGTGAGAAATAATATTCAGAATTAGTACTCCACATCTACAAGTATTTTACAATAAAAAGATTTCCAACATAAAGTTATTTCTTTTCTTATTTATAGACTATAAAATAGAAGGTTTTATGAATACTTTGTCTTAAAAATTTAAATAGCATTTAAATAGTGAAAATATTGGTAATTATTTTCCAAAATAAATATGGAATTAAAAAAACAGGATCAGTTAGAAAGTTATATGTATCAAGCAGGAGTTTATAGGCAATGTTATTTAGAGTAAATGAGATGTTTGATTTCCTCTATAATGTAATTTTTTTAAAGTACATTCAATTTGACATTTTTAGGCCCCCACTCCACTTTTGTTTCTCTTTGCTCTTTGAAGAGACAGAAATCAGAAATGCATAGAATTCTGTGGTTAGTTGGATAAAATTGATTGTGTTATAAATTATAACCAATGGTTCTAAATGTTTATGGCAATAAGTGAAATTCTAAGCTTAATTATAATAAGAATTTTATTAAAAGTAATTTAAAGTGACTCTGGGAGATTTTCAAAACTTGTCTAAATATTTCAGATGGGCAGTGATGAATGTAAAAATCCTTCTCTGGTGTTGTGGACCTTACCTACATTAACCATTTAAGTATCCTGGTTATTTGAATACCAGGTACCTGGAATTTTCCTTCTCACATCACATCAAAGACTGATTAAAATGATTTTTATTTATTGTTTCATCACTTCTTCAAAAATGTTGCTAGGGTAATATTTTATTCTAAAATATTTATACCATACCAAATTGAGCTCTTTTCTAAAAATTTAACCTGGTTTTATTAGTATAAAATACATTATTTTCTATTATACTCTAAAGAACATCAAACTGAGACTATTAATTATGCATTACTCACTTACTGAGGACTTTTAAATTTTTGGATAATTATGTAACAATTCATTGAAGTGCCTCTTAACCAATTTGCTCTTGACTATCTTGTGATACTTCAACTTCAGATGTCTTCTTAAAACTATCATATAAATCAGCCTAATTGTAGGTTTCTGCAATTAGGACTCTGAGTTACCAGTGTTCACAACCAAGGGATAACATTTTCCTGATTATTAAGTGATTTAGAATGTATTCATATACTTACTGAATGTTCGTTCTCTTCTCTGCTTGTGTATCCTTTCCCATTTCCTTTCAGGTTTATTTGTAATTTCGTATTGACTTGTAAGAGCAAATTATTATCTTTAGTTTGTTATATATGTTTTAAATATATTTTTTCATTTGATTTATCTTTTTATTTTCCTTCTGGTTTATTTTAGCAAAAAAAGTTCCTAATTTTAATGATTTGAATTTATAATTTTCCCTTTAAGATTTTTGCATCTTGTTTAAGAAATCCTTCCATACTGCATTGTCATATAAAATATTTCATTTTCTTGTAAAATTTTAAAGCTTTTCAGTTGAGATTTAATTATTTAGTAATATGAAATTGTTTCTTTGTGTGTAAATGAAATAGGTGGCAATTTTCATTTGTAAAAATACAGAAATTATTTTTCTCAACATCGATTTTATTGCAAAATCATCATTTCTTAGAAATTAGCTGTACTGTATTTATCATATATCAAGTTTTCATAATGATTGCCACTATTTCTGGATTTTTTTCCTTTCATTGGTTAATTTTACCTCTATTACCATACCTCATTTCACTAATTTGCATGCTTCATAATATGTTTTGATAACTGATATGTTTGTTCCCTCTTCTTTTCCTTTTATATACATTTTCTATTTTTGGTACATATTGTAGAATAAGCTCATCATATTACGTGCAAAATCCCACTGAATTTCCATTCATCATTTTTTATTACATAGATCAGATTAGTCTGTTTGGGAGTTTGTTTGTTTGTTTGTTTGTTTTAGATTCCACTGAATCTATGATACTATTAGCACAAGAAAATTCCAGCAGCATAGCGAATACCAAAACTTATTTAGAGGAGAGGATTAAATAGGAGGTAATGGGGAAGATGGGCAAATTGATGAAAACTTGTTGTTAAATTATGGGTTCGCTAATATACAGTCACATAACATTTCAGTCAATGACAGGCCATGTATAGGATGGGGTCCCATAAGATTATAGTGGAGTGGAGGGCCTCTACTTTTGCCTAAATAAGCTTCCGTTTGAATTTGTGGCACCTTAGAATATTTTCACTCATCGATGAATCTGCCTTTGTTTTTCCTCAGCCACCTGTTTTGTGTCTATGTGAGATTCTGCTCTGTTTTGTTTCTCTCTAAAACCATAACTTCCATTCTTAGCCTATCTTAGGCAGACCCCCAATGTGGTTAGAGAGTTCTCACAGCAACCACTGAAAGGCAGCTTCTCAGCCATGTATTTTGGATTCTTGGGGTGTAAAGCAATAATACTGGCCTATCTCACAATAGGCATCCCTTCTATTATTTACTTTATTACCTGCTTATTTTCACATAATGGGAATTCTATATGGACTCTACAGAAAAGCTTTTCATATTTCCTGAAATGGTCTCCATTTTTCTCTTCTGATTTATGTTCCTCTTTGATCTATTTTCACTAATAGTGTCATCAGATTACTTTCTATTTCTGGGATTCTTTTAAAATATATGTTCCAGTGATTTTATTGACATACATGTATATTTTTCTTCAAGAATTTTGGTATGATATGGGAATTTAAGAGAAGTGATGATGTATGCCCAATCTAGCATCATGAATTGGAGATTTATCTATGAAACCCATAGCATTCTGACTATATATTCCTTGTATTTTTGGTAATGTATGCCTCTTACAGCCCAAAGTTCTTTTGGAATATATATGTAGAACATGACCCCTGCCAAGGAAATTATAGTCCAGAAGAGGGGCATACTATAGAAAACTAAATATTTTTTAACTCACATGTATTATGTGTTTTCCATTCTTTTGCAATATATTAAAATTTAGTAGACATCATGCATGCTGATTGTGTGGAAAGTCATTTGATAGTTAATTGGCATTTGAACTGGTCCTTGATGAAAGGGTAAGACTTAGAAACACAGATGAAATGTGAGAACAATTAAGTATGAGTAATAATGAAAGTATTAGACTAGGTAATAGAAGATATATTATACCTATTTTGGAAAGAACAGAATATAATATGACAAAAATATAATGAGGTATGTGAAGTGGAGTATTTACAATTATATCAGTGAGTTCAAATATAAGTTAAGTTTACTATAGTTTTCTGAAATATTTAAAATTTGATTTTTATTGAGCTCTTTTATTTTGACAGTTTGAAACTTCATTTGAAGAATGGTAAGAACTTTTTATACTTTTATATTTTTAATATTCAAAGTTTGATGATTAATCTGCTGTAGATAAGATTTGTTTCAAAAGGAACAGGAAATTAAAAGCAGAATTTTTCATATTATATAGTAAAATGTAATTTTAAAAATATAAGAATTAGCATATTACTGAAAATGGCAGAATAAGGATCTCCAGTGCTCTGACCCACCACAAAATAGCTATAAACTTGGCAAAAATTGGTCAGAATCAACTTTTGACAAAATCTGGAATCTAGTCAAAAGCTTACAGGGAAAAGTAAATGAAGAGTCTGCTGCACTGTATTAAGAGAGCACCATGGCATTTTTAAATTGCCTACTTGCCATTCTCAGCCCCTAGATCAGTGGAGGCCATGAAAAGAGCATCCTGCACTTGTGGTGCAGATTGCTAGTGCCAGAGGGAACAATATGGACCTTATTTTCGCACAATTGTGGTTCAGTGTTCTGACCTGTCTGATGACTCCCTAAAGGACCTGCACAAAGGCTTGTCTTTGTTTCACCTTGTTTTGCCTTGGAGCAATCACAGAGCTGGAGCCACTTTCAGGGGGTGTTTGTTGAAAGCGTTTACAGGCATATGTACACTTGCCACCACTGCATGAAGCTATTGATAACAGTCAGGAAAAGCATTTGACATACCAAAATGCCTGGGAAAGAAGAGGTAGAGAAAAGAGAGACATGCGGGAATAAGGCTTTTTAAACCTCTCACAAAAATTGGAGAATCAAGAAGTACAGATATATGACCCATGCTGACACATGCTCAGGAAAGACCTGAGAAGACCCTAAGCTTTTACCTGTAGCTGACCTTTAGGATCTGCACAGGCAAAAGTTGAAGATAGGAGGCAGAGTTGTAAACAGCCTGGATAAGCATGGAAGGAGTACTCTAGTACATAGCCAATCTGTTAAGATTGGGAGGGTATTTTTTTTTCTTTTTCCTTTGTTTTGGCTCCAGGTATTTAAGGTAACTTGGGCAAAACACAAACGTGCCAATAAGCTAATGAAACATTTACTTTAGTGGCCACACATGACATAGAATACAGATATTACAAAAACTGTTTAGAATAATCACTGAACCAAATAAGTAACAACTACTCACCACAAACCAAAGAGAGAGAAGATACCCTTATTTCCTTTTCCCATTAAAATATTCAAAATATCCAGTTTTCTACAAAAATTATGAGGCAAGCAAAGAAAGAAAAAGAAAGTTTGTCCCATGAACAAAGAAAAAGGAAAGAAAGAACAGAAAAGAGATAAAGAATAGAAAATATAAAGAAGAGTGAAGCAGACATTCTGGAGCTGAAAAGTACAGTGATTGGAAGGAAAAATTAGAGATATTCGTCAGTGGCTTTGAGCAGGCGGATGAAAGGGTCCTTGAATTTGAAGATAGGTCAATTGAGATTATTCAGGCTGGGAATAGGAAGACAAAAGAATGAAGAAAAATGAACAGAGCCTAATAGACCCCAGGGATACCACCATGAATACAAATATACTCATGATGGGAGTCCAAGAGTGACAGGGGAAAGAAAAAGACTACTTGAAGAAACATTGTCTGAAATCTCCTCAAATTTGATGAAAGATAAGAATCTATACTTCCACTAAACATAATGAACTCCAAACAGGATAAACTCAGAGATCCACACTAAGACACATTTTAGTCCAATTATTGAAAACCTGGGACAAAGATAGTATAGGTTTTCCCCACTATTCAAAAGTATTGCATTCCTGTGAAACTTTTCGTACACTGAAATGGTGTAAGGTGAAGAAGCAATTACCATTAATTTATATGGAAAAATTTTTGTGTATTCCCAGACCCATAAAAATCATACTAAATATGCTTAATTATGTCTAGTTTACGCTAAGCATAACACTCTTACAAGATCTCTTAGGGCACATCTTGCTAATGGATGCACAAAATAAATTGAGATAAAACACATGCAGTTCACAGACACAATTCAAAGCTCCGGTGGCTTGATGCTGAGGTGCTGAGTGTAGTTCCCAGAAAGGCACTTGGCGGGGCCCCTCTCACTGCTGGGGATGTTGCTGCCCCTGTAACACTTGCTGCAAAACAAACGCTGAATGCTACTTTTCCTCTTTGCCTTTTTTCTTAAAAGCAAAATCCTCTTTGGATTTCTTTCAATGAAAACAGGTACTACTGTAGGTCTTTTGTGAAAGCAAAATGGAATAATGTGAACTTTTGAAAATCAGGATATACCTGATTATATTGCAAACAAGAGAGAAGTGGCTCATCACATACAAGGGATCCTCAATAAAATTAAGTCATTGTCTCATCAGAAATTATGGTGGCCAGAGGCAGTGAAATGACATATTTAAATTAAATTGCTGAAAGAAAAAAAAAACCTCACAGAATTCTGAATCCTGCAGAATGTTCTTCAAAAATGAAAGAGAAAATAAGACATTCCCAGGTAAACAAAAACTAAGGGTCTTTATCACTAGCAGAACTATTGTATCAATATCCTAAAGGGAGTCTGTCAGGCAGAAATGAGAGGACTCTAGACAGTAACTTGAAGCCATATAAAGAAATAAGAAACAACAGTAAAGATAGCTATAAATGTAAATACAAAAGTCAATATAATTGCATTATTATTTTGTGTCTCTTATTTTCCTATATAATTAAAAATATAAGTGGAGAAAACCATAATTATGAATCTATCAATGGTGTTACAATGTATAAATGTGTAATTTTAATTCAAACTTAATTTTCATGAAGATGTTAATTATAATCTCCAGGGAACCAATTTTTGAAAAAAATTCTAAAAACAAACAAAAATCCCAGAATTTCAATAAGGAGGAAACTAAAACAATACATGGGGGGAAAAAAAAGTAACCACAAAAGAAGGCAGTTATGGAGAAATTAGAGAATGAAAAAGATATAAGTAATATAGAAGACAAATAACAAAAGTGCAGAAGTAAGTCCTGTTTTATCAGTAGTTACTTTTCATGAAGATGGATTAAACTCTCTTATTAAAAAGTAGAGAGTAGTAAAATGGATGAAAATAAATTAGCCAACTATATGCTGTCTATAAAAGAGACTCACTTGAGATCCAATGATACAAGTAGGTTGAAAGTGAAAGGATGAAAAATATATCCCATTAAAATAGTAACCTAAGTAAAGCTGTAGTAGCTATACTAATTTCACACAAAATGGACTTTAAGTCATAACATATTACAAGAGACAAAGAATACGTGATATCTTGATAAAAGGGTTGCTTCATTAAGAAGATATAAAAATCATAAACATATACATACCTAAAAACATAACCTCAAAACACATGAAGTAGAAGCTGACAGAACTGAAGGGAGAAATGCACAGTTCTCTAGTAAGAGTTTGAGAATTCAGTACCCCCACTTTCATTAATGGACACAAGAACTAAAAAGAAAATCCATAAGGAAATAGAGTTGACCAACACTAGAAACATCTAGATCTAACTGACTTATATAATACACCCCACGCAACAATAGTAAAAAACCCATTCTTTTCATGTTCACATTGAACATTATTCAGCCTAGTCACACACACACAAATCTCAATAAAGTAAAAAAGATTGAAACCATACAAAAAGTATCTTGTGTCCCAATAAAATGAAACTAGATATTAATAACAGAAGGAAACTAGAAAATGTATACATATGTGGAAATTAACACATTAAAAAAACCTGAGTCAAAGCTGAAATCATAGGAGAAATTAAAAAATACTTTGAGATTAATGAAAAATGAAAGCACAATGTTCCAGAACTTATGTGATGCAGCAAAATAGTGCTCAGAGGGAAATTTATAGCCATAAATGCTTACATTAAAAAAGAAGATCCAAAATCTAGTAACCTAATTCTATACTTTATAGAACTAGAAAAGAGTGAGTGTACTAAAGGCAGCAAAAGAAAGGAAATAATAAAGATTAGAGCAGAGATAAATGAAATAGAGAGTAAAAAATTAGTATCTATGAAAACAGAAGTTGTTTCTTTGAAAAGATCAGCCATATTCACAAACCTTTAGCCAGAATGACCAAGAAAAAAAGATGAGACTTGAATTACTAAAATCATAAAAATTAGGACAGTACTACATACCTTACAGAAATAAACATGTTAATAAGACAATGCTATGAACAATTGATAATACTATGAACAACAAATTAGATAACCAAGATGAAATAGACAAATTCCTAGAAATACATGAACTATCAAAACTGACTCAGGAAGAAGTAGAATATCTATTAAAAAGATCTAATAAGTAAAGAGATTGAATCAGTAATCAAAAATCCCCCAAAAAGAAAAGCCCAGGACCAGATGGCTTCTCTGGTGAATTCTACTGAACATTGAAAGAAGAATTAATAACAGTGCTTCTCCAACTCTTAAAAAAAAAAAAGAAGGGGTGGGAACACTTCCTAACTCATTCTATGAGGCCAGCATTACCCTGATACTAGCATCAAATAAACCTTCAGAAAAGGAAATATAGACCAATGACTTTATGACTGTAGATACAGAAATGCTCAAAAAAAAATGCTGAAAACCTGAATGCAGAAACATATTAATGGAATTATATATCATGACTAAGTGACATTTATCCTAGGAATGGAATGGCAGTTTAAAATTAAAAAACAAAAAATAATCAATGTAATACATCACAGTAATAAAATGAAGGGGGGAAACCTATGTGAATTGATATGGGAAGCAGGTGGCAAATTTCACCTTTTTATGTTGAAAACACTCAAAAAACTAGGATTGGAAGGGAACTTTCAAAACATGATAAAGGACATATATAAAAAACCTTTGACTGACATTATACTTAATGGTGAAGACTGAAAGTTTTAAACCTAAGATAAGGAACAAAATAAGGATGCCCACTTTTGCCACTTTAGTTCAACATTGGAACACTCATACATTGCTGGTGGGAATGTAAAATGGCTCAGTCACTGTGAAAAAACTGTTCGATGGTTCCCAGACAGTTACACATAGAATTACCATATGACACAGCATTCCACTCTGAGTGAGGTATATAAACAAAAGGTTTCAAAACAAGTGTTTCAAGTAAAAACTTTTATGCAGATATTCCTATCATATTCACAATAGCCAAATGGTGGAAACAACCTGAAATCATTCCATGGAATATTAGATAAATGAAGGGTGGTATATCTATACAATGGAATATTATTCAACCATAAAAAGTAATGAAGTTTTGATCCTGCTATAACATGGATAAACTTCTAAACCATTAGGCTAAGTTAAAGAAGCCAGACACAAAAGGTCACCTATTGTATGATTTCATTTATATGAAATATCCATAGTAAGTAAATCTGTGGAGATGGGAAGCAAATTGGTTGTTGCCAGGGGCTAGTGGGAGAAGGAAAGGGGTGAGATTGCTTAATAAATAGAGAGTGTTCTTTTGAGGTGATGAAACTGTTTTGGAACTAGATGGGGTAATGATTGTACAACATTGAATGTTACCAAATGCCATTGAAGTTTACACTTCCAAATGGTTAATTATATGTTTTGTGACTTTTGTCTCAATGAAATATGTGTGTGAGTGTGTGTGTGTGAGTGAGTGTGTGTGTGTGTGTGTGTGTGTGTGTGTGTGTGAAAACAAAATTTTGTTGGTCTAAAAATTAACTGAATTTTGGAAAACAATACACAGAAATAGGTCTAATTATGTATAATAACATTTTGTATCATGCAGTTGGTGTCACAAGACAGTGGGGAGAGCATTATTTAATAAAGATGCTGGAGTAATTAGTTTTCTATTTTTAAAAGCAAACAAACAAGAAAAAATGTTATTTTATTCAACAGAAATATTTAAATGAAATTAAAAACGAAAGAAGAAAATACAATTAATATGTCCTTGACCTCAGAACAGACAGGTTTTTCTAAATGAATTGTGGAATAGCAATGAGACAAATAATATTTAGCCATCAGAAATAGTATGGTAGTCAGATATATAGAAAACAATGTCATGTAACTAAAGCAGCATGCAAAATTTTATGTCTCTTATTGTATAAAAATTGAAATATCACTAGAATGTTATTCGATGTTATATTGGAAAAGTGAGTTAAAATGAAGTATTTTTTATTTTATAATTGTATATAGCTTTTTAAATTTGTAACCCTTCTTTAATAAGAAAAAATAATAATTTAATAAATATTAAACTCTCTGCCTTGTTGTTGATACTGATTTTCTTATAACTTTTATCAGAGAAAAAATAAGTCTGTTTAAATACAATGCAACCTAGTCTAGCATCCAATAATTGGATAGGAGAAATACTGATAATGAGACATATTTTGTTATTCAACATATAGAACTTTAGCTAAAAGATTCTTTAGAAAAGAAATAACATTTTAATTTGGACATTTTTCTAAAACCTTATTAACTTCAAATCTGAAATTGTATTTTTGCTTTTTATAATTTATATTGATTCCCTAGAAATTGCTAAACTGAAATTAAAGAAATAGCTCATTTAAATTATTCTTGATGAATTTCCTTTTTCTGATAGCAACACTTACTAGGAAAGACCAGTTTCATTAAACAATTACTAATATCCCCTCAAAAATTTTCAGATTATTTGTAACAAATTTAAAATTGCTATTAATTTACCATGAACTATAAAGCCTATTATCTATTAGAAGTTTGTTGTATTAATCTTCTGTAAAGTAGAATTAGCATGTATAGTAAGTTTCACTACAAACATTTAAAATTCAATGTAAGAGCATCACCTTAAATTTGTTTTATGAACTTAAAGTACAGCCCTCCTCCAGTCATTTGTGGCTTCTTTCCCATTATATAGGAGCAGAACTTCCAAAAAAGACCTGAAAGAAGATGGGAGTATTGCTACACCACCAAAAGAGGTCAAACCCAAAGAGGAGAGAGGTAAAGTTATACTTCATACTTAGATAAGTATAATTATATTTAAAAGCTCATTGACTTTTCATTTAATATGTTTCTAATTTTTATAATATTTATGTTTAACTGTTTTATAATTCTTATGAGTATCTAATAGAGGAAAGAGCCTTCTACATCATTTGGTTACACATTTATTCAACAAATACAGAGGGTACCAAAAAAATGTATACACATTTTAAGAAAGGAAATAACTATTATAATTACGCTGATGGTAACCACTTTGAACACTTCTTGTAATTGCAGAAGTCAAACATGACTTCTTTTGTATTCATCTTTTGTTGTGGGTATATATTGAGTATTACAATTTTAATATAGTTTTTTCCTTCCTTAAAATGTGTATACATGTTTTTTGGTACCCTGTGTATAATGACCCCTGCCCACCTCTCAAGAAGCTAACTCTAATTCAGTACTGCACAGTAGAAGTTTCTATGATAGCCAAAGTGTTTTATATTTGTACTGTCCAATAGAATAGTTATCAGCCACATACAGTTCTTGAATACTTGAAATGTGGCTAGTGAGACTGAGGAATTTAATTTTTAAGTCTAACCTTAACTTACATTTAAATGTAAATAGTCACAAGCAGTTCCTGGCTACCATAGTGGACATTGCATCTCTACTATCTATCTATCTATCTATCTATCTATCTATCTATCTATCTATCTATCTATCTATATAGTAATCATATATATATCTTGTCGCAATTTATAAAATGTAAAGTAATTTACGTATTGGAATAAGCTGTGTGTTAAAATTCTTCAGTGTATTTGAGTATGTTATTTTTTACAGTATAAATATAAAATTGACTTTATTCATCTCCACGTTGATTCTCAGAAATCACCATCGGTGATTCTGAAAACAGTGATTTAAGGTCTCACATTGTTAAAACTTATTTTCAAACCACGAGATTACTGTACAATACGATAGTAACTACACATGTGCCATAGCCTTCGCTTGTTTTTCTAATGCTGGCTAGCGCTTGTTGATTTTCCACACACTCTGCTTGGTCCCCTTTGTCCTGTAGCACACGTTTATAAGAACGCTGGTCTGGTGAGGCAGATGCGCACATTCCGGCGCAAGCCTTAGACTCATCAGCATATTCTATTCAAACAAGTATATCTTGTTCTGTTTTGTTGTTGCTTGTCATTTTCTGCACTCTGAAATCATACTTATTTCATCTGTACTCATACTTAGCTTATATGTTGTCAGTCTTGATATTATATTAAATACCTCCCCCACCCCTTACTACAAAAATTTGTTAAACACGTTTCTTTAGTGAAAGGTAACTAATAAACTCAGGATTTTTTAAAAGTAAGAATATTTTATTATTCAAAGCTGTCGTTCATAGTGAGGCTCTGTTTTTTGCTCTTTTCCTTTTCACTATTTATGTCTACAATGAAGATGAAAACCTCATTCATTGCATCTTAATTTTTCACATAATAACTGCTGGGAGAAAAAATTAATATATTAACAGTCACAATAACAGTTAAATTAACTACAGTCATGTTTATTATAAACATGTATACTTGACTCTGAAGCACTAGACAATATCAGGATGAGGAAGATTTATTGTAAATGTTTGTGCTAAAAAAATTTCAGGTTGTTGCTTACTTACTCAGTATAAAATGAATTGATATGGTATTCTAGAAAAAAAATTGAGAGAGATGTTGAATATAATGAATTGGAGGCCTCCCCCCAAATTATGCACACAGCGTTTATTTTAGAGTACCATGATAGAAACAGTATAAAACACATCTCATACAAACATAATGAACACCTGTGGACACACATATAACCAATCAGAAGTGTTTTACTTTAAGTGGTATTAACTTCCTCATGTGTTTCAGACTGAAATTTTATTATAGAAATTGAATGAATCTTAAGCTGGCTGGAGAAACCAGTGTTCAATGTGTACAAGTATATTGTCATGAAAAAAAAAAAGATAAGAATATAAAGTTTCTAGGATGTGGTAGAATTTGAAAAAAGAAAGAAGATAATAAACCAAATAAGTAGAGTCCAAATAAAGGACCAGTCTGGAAAAAGATTATTTTATGCATTACAATAGAGAAACCTGTTTCTCAAGAATTCTTTTCAAGTAGAATGCACTTTCTTTGTCAAGCCCGTAGGTTAGAAGTAGAAACTGTGTGACTGCTGAGCTTACACTTATAACCAGTATGTAATACTACCCTCTAGTAGAAAATTATTGTTTTTATTGTCCAAAAGGAAAACGAAAGAAAGCAAAGATTTTTTAGTTGCCTTTCTTCTTGATCCAGTTTTACTTTTTTCCTCAGCCTCAGTGCTTTGGGGGCTTTGCCTTTCTTGAGACTGTTTGCTTATGTCTTCTTATTGTCACATTTTGGCAAAAGTCACTGTTTACAAGTATAAATGTCACCAGAATGGGACCCATATCCAGGAAGACAGCATATTGCCTAGAACGTAACAGGGTCTCTATCCAGTTTTTGCATAAGTGAATGAATGAAAACCCATGTTAATCATTTCATTAACATTAAACCATATCATTCCAGAGCCGTGAACCAAGAATCACAAATATCTCTCATTAAAGAGTTAATTTGTGTTATAACTGAATAAACAGAATATGAAACAACAAAGAATTTTTGTCAAGGTCAACTAGGATGCTATTATCTGATAAGATAAAGAATATTAAGTGTCTTGTTTCTAGGAACTATCTGAGGATTTCCAGTATTTATCTGATGTAATAATTATGATTTGTTTTTCCCATAGAATGAGAGGAAACACAAGCATAATTTAAAAATACAGTTTGTGAATAGAACATATTTTTCCTTCAGATAAAATATTATGCCTGAAATATTGGTTGAGATTTATCTATTCTAATTATTTTATAAAATATTCATTTAAAACTATGTCTTTGAAAGGTTATAATCAATGTTATAATCATTATAATGATTTATTATAATAAAATGGTCTATAAAAGGCTAACTTGTTTTTCTAAAATTCTCTTATTAAATGTATAAATATTAAAAACAGTGATACAACTAGTACCCATGTTCCTACGGCCCAGTTTATTGGCTGATTCATTAACAAATGTGAATGCTTATTCTTATTTTAAGATGAACAGTGTCCAGAATTAAAGCAGGAATTAGAAACATTGCTCTCAGAGGCCATTCATCTAATTAAAAGTTTAGAAACTGACCGTGCAGAAGCTGAAGAGGCTTTAAAACGACAACGATCAAGAAGGAAACAGCTAAACATTGCAATTGACTCTTGGTCAATGTGGAGACTTCAAGAAATCCCGTTAGCTGTGCAGAAAGGTAATAATAAGGATTTTTTTTCATACTGCTGTTTACTTTGTTGGAGAGCCATGGATAATAAAGTGCAGCTCTGAATAAAAATTCACCTCTGTTTAGTGACCATATTATATTGCATCCAAACCAGTGCACTTTTGGTAGGTGCTATTAATGATAATGCTTAGTTGGAAGGAATGCATTGAGCAAACCTGGACCCACTGTCATTTGTGTTTGTTGGAAATTCCGTAGGATTTATGGTAACAAGGGGCATGCAAACGTTTGCTCTGTATGTCATGTAATGACTACAGTATACTAGAAATTTAGAAATTTAAAGTGATACCAGCTCCTGTTATTGGCCACATCTTTAAATATAGGAAAACGAAAGAGTTCTAAGTGATATTTTAGGAACTATACACATCTGCTTCTGTGAATTCAATAGTAAATTCTAGAAGGCAATAAAACTTAAGATGCTTCCAAGAGTTATGCAGGTAACAAATGTTTGAAAAGGAAATATTGCTTTTTAGAGTACAGAGTGAGAGACCTGTAGTCAAGTATTAAACAGTCTAAAGACATTAGATCTTTTCTTCTCCAAACACCGTACCTCCTTATCAAAAATGTCTGACTACGTGATTCTGCCTGAGGCTGAAAGTTGTTTATGCTATCATAGGGTAAAAATTTTAGTTCATGATTTCCATGTTTTATAAACGGGCTGTATTAAAAGTGTTCATATAATCTATCATTGAGTCCAAAACACCACTTGTTGTCACCGGGGGTTTGCAGGGGAGGTTTCGATGTTGAGATGCCCAGCGTAAAAAAGGCATGCAGAGCCGACATGAGGAGGAACCAGTGTCTTTAATCAGCAGTAGCTACCATTATATAGAGGTTTTGGGGGAAGAGAGCACGTGGAAGTGCGCATGCTCCCTCCCTCAAATGTAAGTCATGTTTACATAAAGAGCTTACGTAACCTGCGCAGCAGGCTCCGGAGTCAAGGTCTGCACATCAGGGTCCGCATGCCAGCCTGCACACATCTGGACAGCCCAGACCCTGTGGCCAGGGCTGCTGCTCGTGCTCACCTGAACGTGCCCGGGCCCTGTCACTACTGAGAGAAAAAAAGGGTGTTATTATTATTACTTTGGGATAACTGTCATTAATTCAAATTAATGTGTCAAACGAAACCCATACATACACCTTTGTTATAACGTTATAAATCATCTAAAAGTCAAGTCTCCAAAGTAGGGTGTACACATTTCAAGGAGTTGCAAGAAAAGATTATAATATTGATATTTTTAAATTTTTGTAAATTTTTCTGGATTATTTTGGTTTTAATTTTGTTTTTATTGTGCCTGACAAAGTACATTTATCCAATCATTCCTCAATTATTTTATTTTAATAAGTTGCATAGGTTTAATGGCTGCTTTCTTCTTTTAAAATGATACTGGGCTCACAGCTTGAACTCTTCATTTGTTCACTTCCTTCTGGAGACGAACTCAAGAAGCAGGAAAGGGCCCAGAACCCAGGCTGGGAATGAAATTAATCCATACTGCCTATGCTCTTTTTCACCCTTTCCTAAAGATTAACTATAAAAATTATCCAAAAAACACTCTAAGCTCAGGTAAGAGCAGATCTTTTCCTATTCAAAGGAATACATTTTATCTCAGATAAAGCTCCAAGATAAGGAGTTGCTTAGTATCAAATATCATAAAACACACGAAAATCCAGATTAAATGAGTGTGGCTCAGTAGAAACAGACAACAAAATCTTACTCAAAGTTTTCAAATATTGGATTCCACCTGAGATTATGAAAGAAATATGTTTAATATGTTTCAAGAAGTAAAAAGTTTGAAAATAAAAATAACGACTGAGATTTTTTTTAAAACAAAGAAAAATGGAAATAAAAACACTTAATGGAAATGAAAAATATATTACTTAAAAGTAATACCTCAGTGGCTGGTTAAATGGTTTATTAGAAAAAGACAAGAAAAGCAATAGCTGTAAAATTGAAGAAATTACATGGAATGCATCTCTGCTACACAAGAGGAGGAAAATATAAATAAAATATTTAGAAGTATGAAGTATAAAATGAGGAGGTGTAATAAATATCTAGTAGAAGGTCTTCATTGAGTTAATAATGGTGATACTTAAGAATATGATGACTGACTTTAAAACAAAGTTATAGTGGTTTTATATAATCCAGAATGTACATTAGTTGTAAAAAACAGAATTTGTACTAAAACAATTAACTTATAAAAGATATATTTTAATTCCTTTAATGATAAATGCAGAAGGCAATGTATTTTGTAATACCATAATAAAATAACTTATTTTAGATTTAGTAAGATTCTCAGATAAGTATTATCTGAAATAAAATATTTCATATTTATCTGTTATCAAAGATTTCCTGTGGAACTTTTGTTTTAAAACCAGATTTTCTTGTCTTATGATTGATTGTATGTCTAGAACATGAGGCCTATTTGAGAGATATTATAGAATTACGATGGCATCTTGGAAATAAAACTTACCAAGTTAAACATTTTGAGGAACAAAAGGCAAAATTTGAAGAAGCTAATGCAAAGGTTCAGGCAGACATTGACTACATGAATGAACATTGTCCTCTACTGAATTCGAAGTTGATCCAGGAATGTGAAGCTCTGAAGGAATATTATATAAAACAAAATGAGGTAAATGAATAAATGAATGGATATGCATTTATAAATTATACAAAGATATTAATTATACAAATATTTCAACTATAAGAAATTAATATATCTTTAAAGATTTTATTTTCATTGAAAACTGGCCTATTTATTTCCACCACATGTGAGTGTGGGGCCAGCCCATTCCCTGTCTCCACCCCTCCTACCAGTCTTGAGGCAACCCCTTCTGTATGTCCTTAGTTCCTTAGTTGTAAGATTTTGGTTCCGCTAGACTTCAGGCAATTCTCAGTGACGGTTGTTCTGTAGTTTAGTTGTAATTTTGATGTGGTTGTGAGAGGACGTATGCACAGCATATACCTGCTCTGCCATCTTGACCAGGAATACCCCATAACAGCACTGTTCATAATAGCCAAAAGGTGAAAACAAACCAATGTCTATCAACTGACAAATGACTAATCAACAAAATGTGATGTATCCATACCATATAATATCATTCAGTCATAAAAAGAAATGAAGTACTGATGCATGTCACAGCATGGCTAAACTTTGAAGCTTTATGCTAAATAAAGAAGCGATATACAAAAGATTACATATTGTATGATGTCACTTTTATGAAACATCTAGATTAGGTAAATCATAAAGTCAGAAAGTAGATTTGTGATTGCTAGGGACTGGCGAAAGTGTAATACAGTGTTTGATTTATACTGTAATACAGCTTTGTTTTATTTTGTTTTGTTTTGTTCTGCTGTTTTGACTCAGTTTGGAAGCCATGGCTAGAGGCCTGCTGAGGTAACCCAATTGCTTAAATAACGTAAGACCTCTCACCAATGTGCTTGAGCCTTAGTACCTAGCTACTTGCAAATTAAGCTCAAAGGTTCAATGTCCATTACCTTCAAATTCTATAAGCAGTTGAACCTCACAACAATATAGAGCTACAGAAATATTATCCACGTCAACATGCATGAGTATCCATATGAAAGGATATACCAGTCCCACACTGGTATACCAGACCCAGCCCAAGAGCTTACCTTGGAGATTAACTGGACATCCTATGGTGTAACCCCAGCCCTTGATACTGAGACAACTGCCTCAGCAATGCCTACAGGCTGCCTTGTCTCAAGGTGCTGACAAGTTGACATGGAATATTATTTATTGCTCTTTTTCCTTTGATATGAGGGATCCTGTTTCCTGAGCATTTTGTTTGTTTTGCCCATCATGCTGGTATGTTCTTGCTCTCTGCTAAAATGTATAAACCCTTAAAGAAAAATCTTATGGAGGTTACTATTATCTGTGCTACTCAAAAAATTAGTGAAATTTATTTCCTTGTTCAGGAAGCAGCTTCCTCACATCAGTCCACCAGTTGATCCCCTGAGGAAAGGCTTTGCTCCCCTTAGTACCTTCTCCTACTCTCCTCCCTCCGACTTTCCAACAGGCCGTTCAGACCTTTAGGTCCCAGTGTGACCACTGCAATGACCCCTTCTACTGAGTTTGACAGAGAAGGGAGAGATGGAGACAGAACGTTTATGATATTAGTTACTTAATAAAAACAATAAAAATGGATTACTTTGGACTCTTAAAGTAATCATAGTTATTCCCGAGTGAGAATATGACAGATTCTTTATTTTCTTTTTTATCTGTGTTTTCTGATTTTTCTACAGTAGAGTATTTGAACAATAAAAACAATGAAAGGCAGCAGTATTTTTTGTGGGTGAAAAAAATTAAGCTTTTATTTTAGGCATGCTAACTGAGATATTGAAGTTGTTTTCTTCAATAACTTTTATATGATCCCTAGTAGTCATGCCTTTCAGGGTAAAGGAAACCCAAAACACTACTTTGCTAAACAATAGACTAACTATGGGAAGAATATTGATGTAAAAAACTTTTTATCTAAATGAAAACTACTCTAAGTCCTTTCTCTGATCTTTCCTTTGTCTGATTCTTTTAGCCATTAAGTGCATATATTAGCAAACATATTTTTCATTTCTAGGTAATGGAACAATGCGAACAAGTTCATGAGGAACTTAGAAAAGCTACAGAAGACTGTGAAAATCTCAAATTGAAAGCTAAACAAATTAGAGAAGAAATGGAAAAAGGTATTAATGATGATATGGAAAGCATAGAAGCTTACAAGTAAGAATTTTTCACAAATCCTACTTATAGCATTTAGAAGTAAAATATTAATTAAAGATGTAATTTATATTTCTGTATAAAATGTTATATTGAGAAAGAATCTAATTTACTCATATTTATCTTATCAAGTTATATATAAATTAAAATATCTATCATTACATATGTAAATCTATGTGTATATAAATTCCTAAAGCACTCTTTTTCTGTGTCACTTTAAAGCTCTTCATACGCATTGCCAAATTGTCTATGGATATGATATAACAATATTCCGGTATATCCCTGCTATCTATGTGTAAAAATGACTATCTAAAAACTTTTTTCTACATAGGATATTATTCAAAACAAATTAAACAAATTATATAGCCTTGTATTAATTATAAACATAACATCTAGTTACTTTAATTTCCATTTATTTGATTTCAAATAAAATGAAGTATTTAAAAATATATAAACTATTGGGTCTTCAGAAAAGTCATGATGCATGTTTACAACAGATGGCTCTACTTCATTTTTGGAAGTACTAGAATCATTCGCATCTATGTTATTGCTATGTCATTTGACAGCTGACAGTTCTAGCTTCATTCTTAAAAAAAAAATTGAGCGATTTGGTTGAGTTTTGGAGATTTTACAACAAATTGAAGACGGAAGACCAAATTGTGCACTTTTGCCATATTTTACTGTTTTACTTCCATAAAGGGAAGAACGTGCGTCAAGCATTTGAAAAGTTGCATAAAGTTTATGGTGACAATGCTCTACAAGAACGTCAGTGCCAATGATGTTTCACGAAATTCTGTGCTGGTGATTTTGATCTCAACGATGCTCCTCGGTCAGGGAGGCCCACCGAGGTTGATGACGACAAAATAAAGTCATTGATCAAGTCAAACCCGCGTTACACAACATGAGAGATTGCAAAAACACTGAACATCCATCATTTTACCGTTCATGGCCACCTGAAGAAGCTGGGATACATAAGCAAACTCGATATTTGGGTTCTGCATGAACTCAAAGAAGTTCATTTGATGGTGTGTATAAACATCTGTAATATGCTCATTAAACATAAGGAAAACAATCCTTGTTTGAAGCGACTGATAACTGGTGATGAGAAGTGGATTGTTTACAACAATGTGGTGCACAACGGTCTTGGTCCCAACATGATGATTTGCCTCAAACGACATTGAAAGCAGACATTCATCAGAGGAAGATTATGCTCTCAGTGTGGTGGGATTTTAAAGGTGTCATGTTTTTTGAGCTCCTACCAAGGAACCAAACAATCAATTCAAATGTGTACTGTTGGCAATTGGACAGTTTGAATGAATCCATCATCCAGAAATGTCCAGAGCTTGTTAATTGTAAAGGCGCTGTGTTCCATCACCATAATGCGAGACCACACACAAGTTTGATCACCGGTGGAAAATTATTGGAGCTTTGATGGGCTGTGTTGCCACACCCACCATACTCACCTGACCTTGTGCCATCAGACTTCCACTTGTCTCAATGTCTTCAAAACTCCTTGCATGGTATAATGTTCAATTCAGTGAGGCTGTAAATCAGCACCTTGTTCAGTTTTTCATAAATAAAGACAGTTCCTTCTATGAATGAGGGATTATGAAGCTCACTGAAAGATGGCAAAAGGTTATCGAACAAAACGGGCAGTATATCATTGATTGATCTTTGTTCTTTATATAAATAAATGACCTTTGAAAAACATAGACAAAATATGTCATGACTTTTCCAAAGACTCAATATATTTTGTATATTAATAATTGAAGTGATTTTTATTTTATTTCTGATATATTTGTGTTTTGTGATATTTGTCTAATTCCTCTTATTGGCTTCAAATTTTTTATGGTTCTATGTCACATAATAAAAATTTAATTTATTCAAATCCATCAGTGACTTTGTATAAAAAAACTCATATTCTTATGGAGCTGGAATCACGTAAATATGAGCATAATGAAGAACACAAAATTTATTCACAAACCTGGGATCTAGATAACATCCACTTATTCAGTTGTTTATATTTCCTCACATCCTATATCTGTTTTAACATGTGCTCAAACATTATGTATTATTTAACAAATAAATCACTTTTATAACTCATCTGATGTGTTATATCTTCATTGTCATTCAGCTGCATATATTTTTTAATTTTCATGGTGATTGCTTCTTTGACCCATGGGATATTAAGAAATATATTTTTTAAATTTCCATAATGAAATTCTGTTTTCTAATTATTATTGTTTTCCAGCCAAATTGTATTTTGGTCAGGGAAAATTATATAATTTTAACTCATTGGAAATTGTTGTCTTAATTTTTTTTTTTGGGGGGGAGTATTCTTTGTGTACTTTGTACTTCGCTTATTGAATGTATTGTTCTTTACTATTTCATTAGGTCAAGTTTACTAATCATGGAGGTTGATCTTTGTATATCTTTGCTAAATTTTAAGTGTGGTCTGTGGACCAATTCAGAATTACCTGGGCGAATGAGAAACTGCACTTTTAAAAGATCCAGATGTGATATTTGAGAAGCATGAGTCTATATATTTTACTGATTTTACTACTTTTGTGTCAAATACTTGAGGACGGTGTGATAAAATTGCCTACTCTGATGTTATATCTGTCTACATCTTTTTATTTTTTTAACTTTATCAGTTTTTGTTTTATATATTTTGAGGCTCTTTCAGGTTCATACAAGTATAAAGTTGTTTTATCTTCCTGGGAGATGATTAACCTCCTTCATCATTATGAACTGAGCTTCTTTGACTCTTGGAATATTTTTTGCCTTAAACTCAGTGGAGATATTACTATAGCTTCACTAGCTTTCTTTTGTTATTTATCTGGGAAATATTTTTAGTTCTTTAAGTTTCAATATTTTTGAGTCTTCATGTTTTAATATATTCTCTTGCAAGTATCATGAAGGTAGATTTTTAAAATCAATTTGAAAACATTTTTAAAGATGGACCATTATGTACATTCATAAATCACAAATATATTTGGATTTAAAGTACCATGTACAGTATTATATTTTATTCTGTTTGCCCCATTTGTTTTATTTCTTTTCCTTTATATTGCCTTTATTTCACATTAGTTATTGTTATCGTGTTTTTTCTTTCTTCTAATTTGGTGATCATAATTCTGTTCCTATTCTTTTAGTAGGAAATCCTATTAATTACTACATGAAAATTTACTTTGTCAGACTCTAATGATACTTAACCTGCTGGACAAGAAAGGGATTTATGGAAAATTTTACTGTAGCTATCACATTAAATATTTGTGGAATTAAATATTTGTTTTTGTTGTGAAATAATATATTTTTATAGCCCATGAGAATATTGTTATAGTTTTAAATAATTAAGGTTGTTTTTTTAGATTTACCCTCATAATAACTTTTTTCTTTGTTCTTTTTTTTCCTTCATGTATCTGACTTTCCACCTGGAAGTACTTTTTATTTGGAATAGATCTTCACAATACTCTTTAGTGAGGTTTTGCTGATGACAAATTTTCTTGAGTTTTTGTTTGAAAGACATTTTCTATTTTCATAGATTTCTTGATTCTTAATTGATTTAATATGTTAACTTTATCATTTGGTAATATACTGATTCTCATTTTTTCTGTTAAGAAGCATATTGACCATTTGACTCAGTGCTGTACAATTAATCTATTTTTCCTTTTGGCTGTTTTTAATCATCTCTTGTTTTGAAAGTTCATTAACATCTTTTTAAGATACTCTAGGTGTGGATCAATTTTTTTTTTCTGTTGGGATTTGTTAGCCTTCCAGTCTTATTGAATCTATGTATTGTAATTTTCATTATTCCTGGGCATTCTCAGTCATAATGTTTTCAAACAATGCCTTGGTCCCACTTTCTAGTCCTTCTTCTAGGATTTAAATTAAACATATATTAGTTTTTCTCATTGTATCACCAGTGCCTCTTGATGATTTTCTCACTATTTTCTACATTTTCAAGCCTTCTGAAGAATTTTTTTCTGGTTTCTTATCTATTTAAATAATTCTCTTTTATTCTGGGCCTTATGTGAAGGCCATAAGAATGTATCTCACAGACCTCCAACTACGATAAATGTAATTGAACAAAGAGCAGTGGTTATAGCGGCTTCTGGCCTGTTTTCCAGTGAACTCTGCCCCCTGATACTTTCTCCCTTGTAAACTCACCTCCCCTTGCATATGGGCTATGCCCAGTGAGTTGCTTCTGATGAATAGCGTAACACACAAGTAATAGAATGGCATTTTTATGATTAAATTGCTAAAAACTGTAACATGTCTTGCTAGTACTCTCTTCCTTGCCCTCTTGCTCATTTGCTCTGATGAATTAAGCAGCCATATTTTGAGATGCTCTATGGAGAAGCCCACATAACAAGGAAACAATCGAGGCCTCAGTCCAACAACCCCTGAGAATCAACCTGCTAACAACCAGGATTGTGATAGGCGGAGTGCTTTACTTATTTTGGTTTGCTTGATCTATCTTTTTCTGACATAAATATTTAACCATCTTGTGCTAGTCAATTTATTTTTATATTACTGTCAGTATTCACTTTATATATTTCTAGGCTATATTAAGTGCATATGGGTTTATAGTTTTCCTATCTTCATAGTGGATATATATATATATATATATATATATATATATATGAAATTACATATGTTATTTCATTCCTTTAATATTTCATTCCTCAAAGTATATTTTTGTTTGATATTGATATTCCAAAAGATTCCTCCTGATTAGAATTTCACTGGCAGATCTTACTTTATTTCTTTAAAGTCTTTCTGATTAGTTTTATTTTAGGTTGATTCTTCCAGGTCATGTACAAAGGTCAGGTATAAGTGATTTCTGTGTTTTTATGTAAATCTGATTATTATTTTTTAATAGATATATTCACTGCATTTTTAATTATTTATTATTATTGTGAGTTTTGGCTTGCTTGCTGCTTATGTAGAAAAGCCGTAGCTGAGACAATGGGGAGATTTGACTGTAGTGTTCTGTTTCTCTAATGTGTTAGAAATATTCTCATGGTAGTAGGAAAAGAGTAGAGCAAGCAACCACATTCACACGTGAACTTCATAAGCCTCTACTTGCATCCCATTTGCTAGAATCCAAATGACAATGGCAAGTCAAATGGCTAGGCTCATGTAAGAGTTAGAGAACCCTACAAAGTTGCATGGTAAAGGAAGTGGATATAAGAATGGATGAAGAATTGAGACCAACAAGCCCTCAATTTTTGCATACCTTGAAGTTATCAATTGTTTTTCTATCTCTATTTTTATTTTAATCATTTATCTCTCTCCATCTTTGTGTATATGTATTTGGATGTATATTTAGCATTTCATTCTTTTATCTGGCACAAAACAGATTTTAGCCCATGTTATAAATACAATAATCTCCATTTTATAAAATTTTCTAAAAATTTTCCTTCTTAATTTTGAATGTAAAAATTAGTTGGTGGTTTTTATAACTAATATTTAAATAAATATAAAGGTACATTTTTATTAATTACTACATTCACCATTATTATTACACCATATAACTTTTTCTTTGTTGATTTTCTTCTCATTTAAGTATATTTTCCAAAAGTTATATAATAAGCTTTAGAGGAACCATAAATGATGTTTTAAAGAAAATCTGAAAGATATGTTTAATTGCTCTTCAGTGTTTTTCAATTTGTTGAGAATTAGTACATATACAGGAATATGATTATTTATGCTTTCAAGTGTATAGGTTGATGATTTTTAAAATATGTATATACTCATGTAACCATGCCCTAAGTTAAGATGCAGAAACTTGCCAACACACTGGAAGTTTATCTTTTGTTCACAGTCCAAACCACCATCCCCTACCCCTCAAGAGGTAATCTCCATTTTGACTTCTACTGCCAGATTTTGTTTTTTCTGCTTTTGAATTCCGTATAAATGGAAGCACACAGCATATATTCTTTGATGTCTTGATTGCTCTGCTTTATAGAAACCCTTAACAGGTATAGTACTTCTCCCCCTTCTATCTAAATTTATTCTGATTTAGCAGATCTGAAAATGATGAAATCTAAACTACCACTTGGGGCAAACCTAGTAGCAAACTTTTACACTGAAAAATCTTAAAAGGCTGAGGAATTGGTAGAATCAACTTTTTCAGGAAATAAGGATAAGAGACAACTAAAGTAGTATTTAGCCTCCCACATTTCATGACCCTGGGCAAGTCTCCACATCTTACTCAAAGTCTATAGTTTATTATCTGGACTGGGGGAAATAAGTACCATTGAGAGAAGAAAAATTAATTTCAAAAGAAGGAAATTTAACCAAATGTAAATGCTGAGGCTCCTCACCTCTCACTAGCTACTTGGCTTCTAGAATTCTGTGGTTTTTCAGACATGGAGGGGTAAAGAAGAATACTCTTGCCTGTTTATTTGCTGTTTTATTTTTCATTTCTATAGTAGGTTGCATCTTTCAGTTTTGTTTGACTCTATTCCTAAAATCAGGGTGAGTGCATGAGAATCTGGGCGAATTCAATAAGCACACCATATATTTATTGGCCACTGGTATTTATTCTCTTGTAAATTCTTGTTTACGTTCTTTGCTCATTTGTCTACTTGGTATTTTTTTCTATTCCACATTGGTTTGTAGGATTTTATTGCCATAAGTGATTTACTCTTCAATCCCTTATATGAGTTTCAAATAAATCTCCCAGCTTATTATTTTGTTTATAATGTCTTAAAAAAACTTGGGGTTATCTATATTATTTGCTGATATCTTATGTATGAAAATGATAACTATTTTCTCACTGTATCTTTTTCATATGTTAAACTATAACAACATTGTCTAAGGAAACTCTTATATTTGGAATGTGTTTTTTACCTACCAGATAAGAGAAAGGATTATGTAGTTCACAGATTAGCACTAGTCTTCTTTGTGGAAGATCATATAGGAACAAAAAAACTCCTTGGCAATTACCTCTCTTTGTTTTCCTAAACTGCAATTTCCTCCATTTTACCTCTGAGACTGTGTGGTCTTTTCACTTCTACGTCATTTTTTTCCCTTGCTTTTCCATCCCTGTACTACTCAACTTCTGAATCAAAAATGCTTACTTACCTCACCTGAAAGCAAATCAAGAGGTAACTTATTTTAAATAATTACAATTCACTTTTCTCTTAATTTCTTTACATTGGAAATCTGGTGAATTTTTTCTCACTATTTACTTCTTGATATCTAAGTGGTACTTCTCAGGAGCTGCTTTGGGATGGGAGAACTTTTATAGGAATACATAAATTTCATTGATTTACATTAAGTCAGAAGCTGATTCAAATATTCCTAATTTTAAATATAATTTTTCCTTCCTTCCTTGTAGATAAAACAACTGTGTTTTTTTCTTTTAGGGAAGAGATTGGAAAGCTAAACTATCTATACAGTTACTATGATAATTTAACACGAAATGTTAACATTACTATTGAGGAGAATGAAGGGGCAGTGACTGAAGTATTGAGGGAAACAAAGACATCAACAGACGAAATAACTGCTTTATCAAAAATGGTGAGTTTTCATGCACTCTGTGTATACATCCGTAGTGGTACTTAGTATAGTCTATTGAAATCAATGATTACTTGTCTACTTTTTTTAGACTGTATGGTTTTTAAGGGTAGAAGATGCATTGTGATTTTTTTTTTCCTCTGCATAACTTGCACAGGTGCTCAATAAATTGCCATTTTAGGCTTGATGAATGACTGAGTTAACCATGAATGAATCAAGGAAAAACGGAAAGAAAGAGGAGGGATGGAGGGAAAGAATGGTGAGAGGCGGGGAGGGAGGAAGATTAAATGGGGAAAAAAAAACTACCTTGTGAGCCTGGAAAGAACTTGGTGAGGTGGAGTAGAATGTGGAGAATGTGGATATTCAAGTAATTCTTGATGATTTAAAGGACTACATGTAGCTTTCCTATGTATAATTTCTTTCCAGGGACTAATATAAGCATCAAGAAAGTATAGTACAACCAATAAAAACTTTTAAGTATTATATAGTTTTATCAAATAATTACCTCACTTTCTTAATCATGCTGAAATTCATCATCTATAAAAATATTAATATCAATAAAATATTTTGAAAGAGGAGCAATTCATTCACCTAACTTACAATCACTTTCTTTGATCATCTCTAAAATGGCAAGTCTGGCCCTCCATGTTAAATGTTACCTTTGATGAGTTATTATAGAGTTAGAAATATTTACAATTATAGAAACTATTTGGGGACTATCATACTTTCCAGGGAAGATGAGAACATGATTAACTTTAGATATGTCATTTTTTTTTTTTGCATTTTACTCATTATAAAAACCATAAGCTAGATTTTTAAAGAGTGCATGTTCAACACTCAATTAAAAGCAATGATGTACATCATTCCCATGCATTATATATTGATATACAATTGAAACTTCTAATTCAAGACAGAAATAAAAGATTTGTACTGCCTAATTCCACATACAACCTAACTGATTTTTTTAAATTTCAAGTCATATTGTGCTTCCAATTTCGAGACTTTACCTCTTTAACATACACTTTAGTTTGTGTTGTCATTTTATCTATGAAAACACATTTTCCCCTTCTCATTTCTACAAGCAGTGTCTTTTGTTAATCAAAACATATCTTGAAATTGGTTAAGTACTTTAAAAATATTGTCAAGGTCAAATCCTTTTTAAATGTGAAAGATATTCTATAAATTCTTTTCCCCTCTTTTCTTTGAAGTTTACCTCTCCCATAGTTCAGAATTTTTTTTTCTTGGATATATTTTATTATCTGCAACTCTTATTTTCTTGTGATACAAAAAAAAGCCATCCACATTTCATTTTATCCAGTCATTTGATAAGATAGTAAAAATGAATTTTAAGATTTAGAAATCCTTTGTGATTTTTATATTTCATTGAACAATGACAGGCACACAAAATTATTCTTCCATAATTCCATTTGCAAATAAAGATTGTAAATAAGTGAATTCCATTTGTAGATATGCTCATTTTTTCCTATTTTTTGGATGTTGTTTTTGTTAATAGAAATTTAATATTTATTACTAATTTTTGGTCTATATACTATACAGTATAAATCCAAGTACCACAAAACAATCAAACTATACATTTTAATTCATATTTGTACCTAAAAGTCTTTCAAATTAAGCATTTTATTTCCTAAAAATAGTAAGCCAATAATTATTAGTACTACTATCAATTTACCAAATAGTAAACTAGTGTATTGAGGCTGAGTGATTTTCACATGGACACAAAGCTATTACATGGTAGAACCAAATTATACAATATTTATGTGTTATATGGATAAAATGTGATGACATTTATAAAAGTACATATTTACATTTTTTTTCATAAGTTTCAATCTCATTATTTGTATATTTGTGTGGCATATGTATAAAATATGAAATAATATTTATGAAACTAGCTTTATTTCATTTCTCATTTTAAAGAAGTGCTTAATGTTATCCAAATGTTGATTTCAAATATATGATCATTATCATGTTAATTTTTTTTTTTTTAAGATTTTATTGGGGAATTGGGGGAGGGGAGCAGTGTTGGGAAATTGGGGAAGGGGAACAGCCAAGTTGTTGTCCTTTTGTTCTTCAGTCTAGTTGTGGAGGATGCGGCTTGACTGGCCCATGTTGGTATTATGATCACTGCACTCTTCCCAGCTGAGGCAGATCGGTCGCTGGCCATTGGAAGGCCACTCACGGTTGTTCACGGCAGCTCTCGCTGGCTGCCGGCCACTCATGGTAGCTTACAGCAGCCCACTGCAGCCCACTGCAGCCTACGCCATTGCTGGCCACTCAGGGCAGCCCAGCTCCAGGTTGAGCTGTTGTTCACAATGTTAGCTGTAGAGGGCGCAGCTTACTGGCCCATGTGGGAATTGAACCGGCAGCCCTGTTATTCAGAGCTCACACTCTTACCAACTGAGTCACTTGGCCAGACCAAAATTATTAAAAGTATATTCACATTATAAAAACTGTTTATTAGGAATAGTTAACTTATACAAAATGCTTTGTGAGTATCTGTGAAGAGAATTTTAAAGAGTTTCTCATTTGACCTATTTAAATGATATATTATATTAATATTAAATCATTTTAAAATTCTTGGGATGAACTCTGCTTTGTTATACTTTATTGTTCTTTAAATTTACTGTGGTTTTATTTGCAAATATTTAAAATTTTGCAGCCATAAGTTAGTCTGTATTCCCAGTGCTCTTATTTTGTGTTATATTTGATAGAATCTTACTAGGATTATGCTAGCTTTGTAAAATGAATTATGAAGCTTTTCTTTTTTTCCTTATTACTTGAAGAAATAATATAAATTTAAATTACTTCTTTTTGAAAGTTTGATAGAACAACTTGGTGAAAAAATAAATCTGGTTATATTTTTAAACTCTGGTTTGAATTATTGTTTTAATTTTCATGGGCAATTGTTTTATTTCATCACATGATTGGTCTTATCTAGCTATATATCTGTTCTTGAGTTAATTTATAATTTTAATGGCCCTAGAAATAATCCAAATTGATTAAGATTTTCAAATGTATTATCATAATATGACATAGAATGCTCTCTTATACTTTTGCTTGTCTCTTATTTCTAATGTGTATGTATTTTTCACTTTTAAATTAGATTTCATTTTTCAACTTTTTACAAATTGAATTAAAAATTGAGATGGCTCCGATTAATAATTCTACAGTTTTCCAACTTCTAAAATGTTAATGTATGCTGTTTATAATTTTCTCTTGTTTCTTTAGGTTTATTCTATTTCTTTTTACTTTTCACTTCCCTGTTTTGAATGCTTAATGTTTTTGTCTTTAAATCTTTCCCTAAGAGCTACAATTGCATTTCTTGTTACTCTTAGCAGCAAAACTCCTTGAAAGGATTTTCTGTATTCACTGTCTCTGATTTCTCTCCTTGCATTCCCACTTAAGGTTATTTCTAGTCAGGTTTTCACACCACAGTACCCTGCAATTGCTACTACTGGATCCAATTTTCTTCCTTATGACCCTCATAAAACCTGGTGGGATTCATTACAGAAACTATTATCTAAAAAAATTTTAAGGCACCTTTGAATGGCACAAATACTTAATGTCCTTCCTCCAAGTTTAGAATATACTCATGTGAGTAGAAGAAAATGCTGATCTGTGATCTCACTATCCAGTCTCTGTTAATATTTTGTTGTATATAAACAGGCCTTGTAATATATTTAAAAAGTGTATTAATATGCATACAGTAATTGATGACATGTTTCTTATATAAAAACTTATTTCAGTATCTTATATTTTACATGGCCCATTAAAATAATTAATTTTAATGATCTCTTGAGAGTTTCTTAAACCCTTGTTATTGGACATTTAGGATATTTTCAATCTTTAAGAATTATAAACAAAACTATGATTAATATCTCTAAAACTTTTAAATATTAACATAGCTACTCATTTTAACAAAATAATGTTGTGATGAAAAATAATGAAGGTTGAATTATGGTATATATTAGAAGTTCAAATTAGCAATTATGTGTCTATATTTCTGCGACAGCTTAAATGATTTGCCTGCATTTTCACATTTTCCAAAATTTATACACTTTAGCTTTATCTTTTTTCAACTCACTTTTTAATGACAATATTTTCATTAATTAAATTTCTTGGCTTTCATAGCTTTAATCCTGTAGAGTTATTATCTACTGAACTTGCATGACAATTAGTTTGCAATTTAAGATCTAGGTTTATACTATTCTTATTCTTTACCTAATGCTATAATTTCAAATGTTGTTGATATTAGCATTGTTTCTTTGAATCTAAAAGAATTTTTGAACATCACTTTAAACATAACCAAAACCACATAATGACTCTTGGTATTTACATTGTTTTAAATCTAGAGGGTTTTTTTCCCCTCAATATCATTTGTGATTTAATTTACTTAGGCCTTAGAATAAAGATTACTTAATTTTGTCTTACTCAAATTTTATATTGTAAAAGACGTAGATGTTGGAAATTTTATAATTGATTTGAGTGAAATGGAGAGCTAAGAAAAATTACTCCTATTGTAATAAATAGCACAGACTTAACATCACTATTATTTTGTATGCATTTGGTGCCACATGATTAACATTTAGATGAAACTGTTCATTATGATTTTATGAATATTATCTCTCTATATTGTCCAAGGGATGTCTTGTACTCTACAGTCTTCTCTTAGAGACAATTCCTGTGTATGAAGTACTTTAAATGTTGATTATTCCTTGTAGTATCCTTTACAAGATAAAAATGGTACAAGGTTATAAGTGCAATCATTTTCTAGTTGCTGTGTTGGTTTTGTATATTTTACAAGAAAAAAACCTATATTCTATGTCATTGCTAAAATTTTAGTTAATATGTTTACATATAATTTACAAATATTATTTATTCCATGTTAATTCTTTTTAGGAGGATGTGATTTATATATTCTTTAAAGTAGCAGGAAACTTAAGGATGTTGCCCCTCAATCATCTCAGTGCAGCCAAAAATAGAGA